ATAATCCAGTAAATATAGTGACATTATGCGCCTCAGCTGCTATTGATTGTGTGCGATGTGGTTTGAACAAGACTGGAGGTTTATAGGATCAATTGTGGCTGGCTGATTAGTGAGTCACTAGGACCGAACGCAAGGGACAGTCTGCCACCATCACGCAATCCTTGCTAGCCGACTACTCCTAGAATACCGACTAAAATCCCCAGAAAACACATAAAAGCATGTCCTACGAGAATGGTACAGTCTCTGTTTCTCATTTTCCCTCCCCTACATCATGTCGACGAACGGACATCTTGACGTCCCATCGCGCAACGCCAATGGTCATTTCCCCAATGGGTCTACTGACTCTCTTCTTAAATCCACAGCCGTTTCCATCTCTCCAACGACATCAAGCAGCATTCACACTCTGTATAGACAGCAATCTCTCTCATTCTCGCTTGGGAGTACGATCAGACCATCCAAGGTCCTCCATCCCACATCTACGGGAGAACTTCGTATTCTGTTACTAGAGAACATCAGCCAGGGTGCTGTTTCTTACTTCAAATCACAAGGGTTTCAAGTCGATTGGTTCCCCAAGGCTTGGTCGGAGGATGAACTTCTAGAAAAGATCGGACAGTACCATGCCATCGGCATCCGCTCAAAGACCAAAATCACAGAACGAGTCATCAAATCTGCATCAAAGGTGAATATTTGCCCTTTCAGGGCGGCATCCGAACCCTTTTGACGTCGAACGTGCACTGACTCATTGGTCTTTTCTTAGCTTCTGGCAATTGGTTGCTTCTGCATCGGTACAAATCAAGTAGACCTTCTTACGGCCGCGAAAGCTGGTATTCCAGTCTTCAATTCACCCTTTTCCAACTCCCGCTCGGTTGCCGAATTGGTCATTGCAGAGATCGTTGCACTCTCTCGCCAGCTATGTGACCGTGCACGAGAAATGCACGACGGCGTCTGGAATAAAGTTTCCAAGGGCTGCTGGGAAGTCCGAGGGAAAACCCTGGGCATCGTAGGATATGGTCACATTGGCTCTCAGCTCTCAGTGCTGGCAGAGGCCTTTGGTATGCGCGTGATCTTCTATGATGTGATCAACATCATGCCCCTCGGATCTGCAAGACAAGTCGAAAGCTTAGACAAATTGCTAAGCGAGGCCGACTTTGTGACGTTGCACGTTCCAGAATTGCCAGAGACCAAGGGCATGATTGGAGCCAAGCAACTGAAGTTGATGAGGAAGGGAGCATACCTTATTAACAATGCTCGTGGAAAAGTCGTCGATATCCCTGCCCTCATCGATGCATTGAAGAGCGGACATTTGGCTGGCGCCGCGCTTGATGTGTACCCTTCGGAGCCAGGTGCCAATGGACCCCATTTCAACGACAACCTGAACGACTGGGCAACTAGTCTCCGTTCTTTGAACAATATTATTCTCACGCCCCATATTGGTGGGTCGACTGAAGAAGCTCAACAGATGATCGGAGAAGAGGTTTCTCAGGCTTTAAGCCGCTACCTCAACTATGGCTCCACTGTTGGTAGTGTCAATTTCCCCGAAGTCGACTTGCGTGCAATTGCAGCGGACGAGAAGAACTTTGTACGTGTTTGTCATGTACACGTCAACCAACCCGGTGTGTTGCGACAAATCAACGAAATCTTGTCAGATCACAACGTCGAAAAGCAGTTCTCCGATTCTAAAGGAGATGTGGCCTATCTTATGGCTGATATTGCCGACGTGGATGAACACGATATCCAGTCCATCCACGATCGCATCAACAAAACTCGTGCTAATATTATCACGAGACTATTGGCTTAAACGCTAGACATTTTGGACATGGTTCGGTATTTGTAGTCCTCCTTCCATCCTTCTTCTTGTGATATCCTTAACGATTCCGCCTTCATCATGTAGCCACTCAACTGACTGCAGTTGCTCATTCAACTGACAAAACCCTGCTATCGTCTTGCATTCCCCAACTCTTATCAGTAGTCTTAGAAATCAAATTTCTTTATCAATTTTGTGGGTTGATGACTGCACGTCGTGAGCACCTAGCCATACCATGTCTTTAGAGAATGGTCATAAAATGAACAACTTGCAATCAACATCTTCTCGTTATGCAATTGTCCCGTGTAACACCAATCCACTCCGTAAGCCAGAGACGTATGTTTGTCGAATCGCTGGGCTATAGAGCTCGTTTCATCATTCACTTGTACTCCACTGCTGCTACCAAAGGCACCGCTCGAGAACCGCACAACCTTGAAACCATCATGCATGCATGCGACCAGTAGGTCATACTTCCTCTCCACAAAAGGGTGCCATTTCACTCGCCATGCACCACCGCCTACATGTACAGTTTCTACTGGCTTTTTA